GAGAGAGACACAGCATGAGTGGAGTAGGGGCAGAGAGAGGGAGACACAGAATCTGTAGTAGGCTCCAGGCTCTGAACTGTCCAGCACAGAGCCAGATGTGGGGCCTGAACTCACAAACTGAGTGATCATGACCTGAGCCGAAGTCAGACACTCAATCGACTGAGCCACCCAGGTGCCCCTGCATATTGTTTTTATACATATATTGCGTAACTGAATTTCCTCTTTTGTGAATTGTCTGCTTATATGTATCTGCTTAACTGTACTTGTCTCCTGCTTCTATCTGAACAGAGATTCTTCTCATCCTCAGTTGGTGCCTCTGCTGGTCCAGGTGGTTTACCTGGTGATATGACCCAGAGCCTTATGCCCGAAGGGTCATTAGCCCCCGATACCAATGCCCTTTATAGGCCATGGCTGATGTACTTTTCCATTTACAAAACTGGGTAAGAAAGCACCAAGGGATACTCAAGTGAATTACCTGGGTGCCGAACATCGTCCTTCCATCTTCCATTGTGTAACAGAATTTCAACTTCCTCTCGATGATTGGGATAAATCACCCCTGCCAACATGGTGACTTGTCTGGAGTGTCTGGCTGGCTCAGTTGGTGGAGCACGGGTCTCTTGATCTTGGCGTTATATGTTCTAGCAGCACGTTGGGTGCAGAGATTACTTAAAAATAAAATAAAATTAAAAAAAAGATGGTGCCTTCTTGCCATGTCTGCTGGTCCCTTGTTACAAGGCATCTGAAATGCTCAGGCAGCAATTATCGCTTGAAGTTCAATGGGACTCCTGCTGTATCTATTGGTGGAAGCAGTCCCCTTTGGAAACCATGATTTCTGATTGAGTTGATAGGATGCACCAAGCAGGGTCATTCCTACCTTCACCCCTTCATTTCCAGACCCACATATTCTACCTACTGGGGACAAAGTACCATATATTGCTAACTGATTTAGAGTGTATGAATGTGGTCTTCAGGATGGTGCCTAATCCTCACAAGATATTGTTTCAGAGCTGGTGTTTCGGTGTTCCTTCAATGAGCCATTGCATTGCTTAACATCTAGGGATGGAGACTTCTTGAATGGACTACAAACTTAGGCCTTTTTTTTTTTTTTTTTTTTTTTTTTTTTTAAGACTAAGTAATCTCTACATTCAACATGGGGCTGGAACACACAACCCGGAGATCAAGAGTCACACTCTATTGACTGAGCCAGCCAGGTGCCCCTAGACCTAGACTTTAGAGGAAGATGGTACACACCTTGAGTGCTATGGAGAGTGCTGTGAGTTACTAAAAGGATTTGTGAAAATATGCCCAAATCAATTATGCTGTTATGGAGCTGTTTGATCAATGTCTGAAGTTGAAATATAAGGAAGTATCTAGATGGCCTCTCAAACTCCCTATTAAGACTTTTTTTGGGGTGGCATTTGGGTTTCTCAGTCGGTTAAGCATTTGACTTTGGTTCAGGTAATGATCTTACCGGTTCGTTGGTTTGGGCCCTGCATCAGGCTCTGTGCTGACAGCTCAGAGCCTGGACGCTTTTTCAGATTCTGTGTCTTCCTCTCTCTCTCTGCCCCCTCCCCACTCACACTGTCTTTCAAAAATAAAATAAACACTGAAAAAAAAAACCCAAACCTTTTTTTTTTTTTGGTAGAACAGCCCCTTTTGAAAAATTGAGAAAGTCATGAGTTCTTTTCTCAAACATGCACAATTACATTAAAATGCTGTTCACAATTTTAGGGGGTCCATGGGGTTTTGAAACCTAACCATGGACTCCAAGTAAAGTATTGCTCTCACCTGTCTTTCCTCCCAAGAGGCAGCCCAACTCTTAGTCCTATTTTAGAATATAGTATAGGGCTAAGTTTACTAAACTAGATACAACTTCTGAAAGCAGATGGATTTGGGAGAACAGTAGGCGTTACTGCATATTCTTTTTACCTTGCAAAGTATAAAAACATGCGATGGAAGATGCCACATTCTGGATTTTCCAGGAGGCTGTTTGGACCCTACAGATAATAATTTTTGACTACAGACAGCTGACTCATTCAGCAAATATTTACTGGGTGCCTGATATTTATAGGCACTGTGCAAGTGACTAAGGTCCCCAAGAAAGAAAAGACACCATTTGGGTCTTTGATGAGACTATTCACTTGAAAAAGTGTGAACGCAGTTACTGGTGGCCTTTAAGAAAGGGCTGAGGGGATCATCTTAAGTTTTAAAGGAATTCCTGGAGATGGAAAACCGGCTCTTGAGCTGGCGCCTTGATTCTTGGTTTCCCCACAGCCTAGAATGGTGAGCTTGGCAGGTCGAACTCAACTTGCCTCATCTATCCAAACGGGTTAAATGAGCAGACAAAAACTGTTGCAAATCGTCACAAAGATAACCTTTGTAAACCTGTACATGCACTAATGAAAAAACACAAGCACGAGGCTTATTGAAAGCGATAGCTAGGAAAGTCGCCGCTTGGGGGAAAAGCACGGCTCTCCCAAGCCTCTACAGCCACCAAGGCGCCCGGCACGCGGTCAGAATCCGTTCAATAAGCCTTCCGGGACGGATCAAGTTCCGCTTCCGCAGGCAGATTTTCGCTGTAGGCGTGAGCACTGGACGCTCGACGCACTTTAGCGTCGGACCTCCCTCCCGCGCATGCTCCAAAGGATAGGCAGAGAGCGGAAGGGCGGGGGAGTGACGAGACGCAGCGGACCGTCGGCTCGTTCGTCCTGCAGCCCCGCGCGGGAGGCGGGGGCGCGCGCGCACGTTCGCGCGTCCGGCTGCGTACAGTAGTGACGGCCGCGCGGGAGCGGTCACGTGACCGCAGCGGCTGCCTGTACAGTAAGGACCCAATATGGCAGCGGCGGTAGCAGTGGCAACGGCAGCAGGAGGACCGGCCGCCCCATAGACCCCCGCCCCCCCCCTCCGCGCACCACCCCCGCCGCTTCCTCTGCTTGGGTGCTCCTCGGACCTGACTTCCCCTTTCTCCCACTTTTCCCGGCACCGCGGGAAAAGCATCGCAGGGCAGAGCAGGCAGGGAGGGCGGCCGGAGCCCGGACACGGGAGCCTCCCAGTCAGTTCAAGACCCGACATGAGGGAAAAGGGCCGTAGGAAGAAGGGCAGGACCTGGGCGGAGGCCGCCAAGACGGTAAGGGGGAGGGAGCGAAGGGGAAGCCCGGGAGAATTTTGTTCCCTCGCCGCCTGCCGGTCGCAGGGGAAGGGAGGTCATTGGCCCAGCGACCCGGCTGAAGGGGGCACAAAACCGCGCGGAGAGGGCGGCGGTTAGTGTCGGGGTTGTGATCCCTGTGGGAATGGAGGCGCCCAGCGGAAGAGGGTCGCCGCGGGGCTGTGGCTTCTCCCTGCGTCTGCGACGAGTCCCCTTGGTGTTTTGAAGCTGCCTCTCGGGGTCACGTCGCTCTCACCTCCACACTGAGGTAGCCCCCGCCCCGGCATGGGGAAGTCTGTTGTGCTTGCACAGTAACCGGTTCTTCTCCCTTGTGCGGCTGAAGAGCCCCCATTGGATGCAGATAGGAGAAGGCTTGTGCGTGCACCCAGCCCCGGAAAGAAGAGAGGAGCGCTGGATCTTGGTAGAATTTACCCGCTATAGCAGACATGCCGCCTGACCCCGGGTCCCCTGCTCGTCTGGGCTCCCGGGTCCAACGTGAGGTCACGAGGCTCTTGTTTTTGTTTGCTGTTGAAGCTGAAAGTGCAGGAGGTGTTTAGAAACGAAGTAACAGGTGGGACTTGTAGAATTTTTTTTTTTTTTTTCTGTTTCCGTAGAGACCTACTCTGAACAAGGCAGCAATGCATGGTGGGACGTGTAGTTTACCCGGCCTTGACTTTTCCGTAGCTAAAGTGATGGTGGCCTCACGAAGTTGTGATTAGTGGGTAAAATTGTCATTTCCCCCCACTTCTCCCCCCCCCTTTTGTTATAACGAAATTTAGAGGTAGGTTTTAAAAAATGGACAATTTAGGAATGGTGAGACTTTTATTACGTTGTATGAAAAAAACGAAAAGCGTGCATGTATGTAGAAATAAAACGTTGGGAGATGCAGCAGAAAAGTTAGAGACGTAAAACAGCATTTTAGTGTTGGAAAGTGAGAAAGTGGAGGCATTATCTTTAATGGTGAATCATGTCAATAATACTTGTATAATATGAAGACCCCTTCTAAATGAACCTTTATGTGATGTATGGTTTATTTTTTAAATGATTTTTTTTTTTCTGATTACGAAAGTAATAAATGTTCACTGTGGGAAAATTTGGAAAATTAGAGAAACGTATAAAGAAGAAAATAAATCACATATCTCACCCCTCAGTTATATGTTAATGTTTTGTTACATTACCACCCATTCTTTTTTATTTCCCCAAATTTGGATTCTGTTGTTTATTCAATCTTGTGCATTGTTGTAAACCGTGTGTATTTGTTTTGTAAATTTTATGTGATAGGGGATTGATGAGTCTTAAGCTTGTATTTCTGTTTTAGTTGGAAATGTGAAAAAGTTAGTGAATAAATAAAGGCACATTTTATTTATTGAGTGTTTTCACTTAACAGTCTATCTTCATAATTGTGACTGTGCTGATAGTTTCCTTTAAAAGATAAAACTCTAGAAATAATTTTTTTGGTGTGGGGAAATTGCTTCTTCACAGAAGACTGTTAGACTTTCTTCTACTTGATGAATACCTCAAGACTTTTTCGTTTTATTAAAAGAAGGATGGCAAATTGTAATTATAGGTAAGCAGAGCACAACCCTAATATATTAATTTATTTCAAGTCGCTAGAATCTTAAGAGTATTTTTTGCATTATGATCTCTTTGGATAAAATAGTCTAATCGTTGGGAGATTGTGACAAGTAGGAAAAGTTTGCATCTGCTGTTTAGATTTTCCTATAATAGGTTAATATATTTGCTCATTTATTTTTATTTGTTTTTATTTTTTCAATTTTTAATATAAATTCTAGTTATATTTGCTCATTTATAATAAACATTTCATGCCGTAGTTAGCTATGTTTAAAAGATGGAAAGGCTAGTTTAATAAGTAGAGTACTGAGTGAGTTCTTGAAGGGATCAGAATATTAGTGGTTTGGTATTTTTATTTGATTCTGACAAATGTAAAGCTTCAATCTAAGTTAAAATTAGAATGATAGTGGTGACACTAAAACTTTTTTTTTACTAGCAGGCAAAATCTAAAAAGCACCCTGCTCTGGTTCATTTTACCATCTGTAAAGTGAGGAATTAAACTAAACCTCTGCATTCAGAAGATTTCCATTTGTAAGAAGGACTAGGTAGAAGTAAATGTAGGGGGAATAGACAAAAGTCAATCTTTAATATTTCAGAATAATGAGATCAGAAAATTAGTGTTTTGACAAACGGAAGTAACTTTGACCTAAATTAAGAAATGTTGCATATATTTGTAAGATCAAAACGACTAGGAGAAGTAAGTCTTAAGAAACTTATTTCAAAAAAAAGAAACATTTCATAGGCGTTAGGGTCAAATGTTCTAGGAACAGTTTCAGCAAGGAAAGAATAAAATTACTTACGAAAACGAGCACTATCTGCTTCTTTTTTCATTGTGTTCTTGGTACCTGCATTGTAGGGCTGTCCTGTTTTAGGGAGCACTATTAAAATGAGGTTGTATTTCTGACCAATAGTATAGCAACAAATAAATAAAATTAATTATATGTATATGTACATGTTTGATGTGAGGGTATGCATGGAGGTGAGAGCTACATGGATTGATGTAAGGTTGTTACGAACAACCTGAAAAAGCAAGATAATATTCATAATTACTGTATAATAGTAAAATTATATCAAAAGGCTGATTAAATGTAGAACATACAGACTAGTTCCAATAACTAGGGACAGCGGAGAGAGGGATGATGGAGTTGAGATTCTGTAGCACTTGAATGCTCATTCACTGTACTGGACTGTCTCCCTACTGATTTTCTATTTGCCCTATATAAATACACTAGTTATTAAAAAGCTTTACTTGAGTATTTAAAAACATTTTTTTTAAGTTTATTTATTTTGAGAGGGAGAGTGCATGTGCAGAAGGGGAGAGAGAGAGAGAAAGAACTCCAAGCAGGCTCTGTACTGTCAGTGAAAGGACCTGGATGTGGGGCTTGAACCCATGAATCCATGAGATCATGACCTGAACCGAAATCAAGACTTGGACACTTAACCCACTGAGCCACGTAGGCCCCCCCATTGTTACTCAAGTATTTTGTTAACAGTCTTGGATGTTTTCAATTTTAAGGGTAGCAGTGATGGTGATGAAATGATTGGGAATTAGATCTATAGTGTTTGGTTCGACTTGAATACAAAGATTTGTAGTAAGCCAGAGATCTTGAGAACCATTGCACTGACTTTAGAACTGTGCTCAAAGTTAAGCTCATGCTTTAAACACACACACACACACAACAAAATGAACATTGTATCATCTAAATATTTAATGACATCCTTGAAGAATTTAGCTGTTTTTGCAACAGCAGAGCTTTGGAAATACTACAATCTTGTTGATCCTGTTTTCTCTTTTGACTTTTCCCTTGTTACTCACCACAACCAGGGAAGCGTTAAAAGGGGAAAATGTCCTAAAAGGACAAGTTAGTTGTGATTGTAGGTGGAAAGGATAGGGAGGCAACCTTAAGAGATTCTATACTAGAGGTACCTTTGGATATCTTGGGAGCAAAGTGGTCAGGGTACGTGAAGTGAAGTATGGGTGTTAGAGGTGAGCACAGACTGTCTTGTATAGGTCTTTAGCATGTGATTTGTGGGCAGAAGATTTCCCTTAGTGATTAATGTTATTTTGAATGTACATAGGTTTTTATTTTTGACATTTGCCTGAAGTCATTTAACTTTAGGAATAAGATGGAAGGTAGAAAAAAAAATCTTTTCTTAAGTTAATTTATTTATTTTTTTGAGAGAGAGGGAGAGAGTGAGAATCCCAGGCAGGCTCTGTACTATCAGCATGGAGCCTGATTTGGGGCTCAAATTCATGAATCGCAAGATCATGAACTGAGCAGAAACCTAGAGTTGGACACTTAACTGACTGAGCCACCCAGGCGTCCCTAGGACATTTGTAAACAAGAAGTAATACTCAGAGGCTAAGAACTTTTGTGGAGGAAGTATAGAAAATGGAAAATAATTTAAAATATGATAAAAGTATATAATGAATAGAAAGATGTTTTCTAGAAAGATGTTTAGGAAAACTTCTTAACAAAATGTACTTTAGTAAAAATAGAAGTCTTAGAAATTTTCTGTACCCTTAATCTTTACCATCAGTCGTTTTTTTCTTAAAAATTATGAATACAGGGGCGCCTGGGTGGCTCAGTCGGTTGGGCGTCCGACTTCGGCTCAGGTCATGATCTCGCGGTCCGTGAGTTCGAGCCCCGCGTCGGGCTCTGTGCTGACAGTTCAGAGCCTGGAGCCTGTTTCAGATTCTGTGTCTCCCTCTCTCTCTGACCTTCCCCCATTCATGCTCTGTCTCTCTCTGTCTCAAAAATGAATAAACGTTAAAAAAAAAAATTATGAATACAAGTACAGACTTAAAAGCCAAGCCTGGTTATATCCTCTTGGATATATATTGACCAGGCCAGAGTCCTTTTTAGTCTGTATTTGTATTGTATTTGTAGTAGTATTAAAATCTCCAGAAAGAGTGTGCATCTTGGAAAAAGATATTACATGTATTGTTTATAGACTGTTGGAGGTAAAACTAGGCAAAATCTTGGAATATATAGAAAATAGAATGAGAGAGCATTGTAAGGGGCATGGATTAAAAATTGACAAACTGCTGTGATCCATAATTTTCAAAATACCAAGTGCACATTTATATTTATTATTTCAGCTTTATTGAGTTACAATTGACATAAAATTGTAAGATATTTGATACGTGTATGAAATTGCTATCTGCAAGTCTGTTTGTGCTGGGTGATTTGATGTAACTCTTGACTGATGTTCCTTCTTGCCATAATATTAAAGTTCCCCTGTGTTTTGCTTCTTGAATTCTGTGTTATTTCAGTTTGTCTTTCCTTCTGTCTTGTTTTTATGTGCCTGTCTTAAAAGCCCACAAACCTCCTAACAACTGAAAAAAAAAAAAACAAAAAACCTCTTTTGAGCACATAAATTAAACATTTCTATGAAAGGTGCTGCTG